TTAAGTTGAGACTAAAAATAAAGATAAAAAGATTAGAAATATTAAAACATTGTTAATCTCATAAATGTGAACATAAATGATGTTCAATTAAGGTTGATGAAAAGATGTTAAATAATCTATTTTTTATTGTACCAAGTTCTCCTTAAAAAAATAATTTATAATTAAATTTATACTTTTATATATGTTAACGTGAAGTGTTCGAGAAGGGTCATGTATTATTAACTTATTATGAATCCCACATAATATTCATAGATTGAAGTTAATGAAGAGTTATTGAAAGCTCTGTTTTTTAAAATTAAAAATTTATTTCATATTATTTAATAATTTAAGTTATCTGGTGATCCTAAAAAAAATAATATAAGGTTAAATTTATTATTTTATTATTATATGTAAAATTTTATTTTATTTTATTTTTTTATAATTTGACATGGGGTAAGTATTTTGCGCGTCGGGTGATCTTGTGAGGCGTGAGAAAACGCTCTAGGAGGAAGAGAGAGAGAGGGGGAAGGAAGGGAAGGGAGAGAGATGATGAAAAGGACCACAGGTGAGTTTTTATTTGAAAAGAAATGGGAAGGACGCGGAAGAGCCCTCGACTTTTACGCGCGTGCCTGCTCTGCTCTCTCTCTCTCTCTTTCTCTCTCTCTGTCCCCATCACACTTTCATCGTACTTTACTCGGCTCCGTCGCCTGCACGCTCCCTGACGACGCTCCTCCTGTGACCTGACCCTCCCGGGGCATTCTCGTCCTTTCACTTTCCACTTGCCAAAAAGGAACTAGCCCCGTCCTTGTCTCCTCAGACCCTGTCGGTTGCCGCCAAGTGGACCGTACGGCCTCGCCCATTAATCCCTCCTTCTTAACTCTACATGATACCCGGAACCGTCAGACCCGGAAATGCCGAGCGTTGCTATCCTACATTGGCCTGCACTGTCTTGTCATGCGCCCCACCTCTGTTAGTTTTTACCCTGCTTTCGTGTTATCAGTATTAAATTAATAATAATAAATGATGACTGTGGGACTGGGAGTCTGGGTGTGGTCTGGTGTTCAGATTTCAGAAACGGGGGCGACGGTAGGGTGTAGCGGTGCAGCCACTAGCTACAGCCCTATGTTTGGTCTCTGTCAGTGAACTCTTGAATTCTTTTGACGCTTTGAAATAGAAACTTCCCTGCACATACTATTTTCAACTGAGGTCCGTTTGCTTGATTGCCACGGGGGAAACAATTTAAAAAAAAAAATTAATTAACTACATGTTTTCACTGAGTAAATTTATTTATAAATAAATTTTAAAAAATTTAAAACTATAACTGTGTCTTGAAATCTTAGTGAAATTTAAAATTAAAATAAAAAAAACAATATTCTTATTAAAAAAATATATTTATACTGTTGAATAATTTATAATTACCTTATTAGTAATTTACAATCATAACTTTAAAAATTAAAGTTATGGTTGTATAAGTTATGACTGTAAATTATTGATGAATTAGTTGTAAATAATTAATATTAAATTTTATTAGTAATGCACAATTATTTGATTATTAGATATATAAATTATAATTATAAAAAGTTAAAATTATAGGTGTAAAATGTTAATAAAATAGTTACTTCCTCCGTTAAAAAATATAAAGCATTTTTAATCAAATTTTACCCACAATAGAATAGTTACTTACTTTTAAATTAATCCTATTTTTTTATATTTACCCTTATTAAACACCCTACAATAAATATAAAGTCACTATCAATAAAAGCATTTTTGAAAAAACGACAACGATTGATATATTATATTTTTGAACGGAATAAATATAAATTAATTGATGTAGTGTATGTTTAATATGAATATTATTATTTTTATAGCCTAATTTTAAATTACACTCAACTTCTAAGAAATTTGGCTGTGAATTCTAGATTTCATTGAACTTATTCATAAATAAGTCCACTCTATAAGACCTATAGGTAGTTTTCCCAATAAAAAGATAAATTAAAAAAATAAATCATCCAATACTCCTTCAATCTTCTTTTTAAGTCATTTCTAATAATTTTATTAATACTAATACAAAAATAAAAAACAAAATAAAAACTTGCAAAATTTTAAATATGTTCTTATATAACAAATCAAAAAGGTAATGTCATATTATTTTTTCTTTGTCCAAAAGGGTTATTTTTGAAATACTTTTTAAATATTATTTAAAAAATTATATCATGACTTATAAATAAGCTTAAATGAATCTTTTAGGATGTTCTTTATAAATGAGATTGGAGGGAGTACCTTGTAATAAACATCAAAAAATTTAATACTACATATTTTAAATACCAAAATCATTAAGCTCATCACAAACTTAGAAAATCATAAATCCTAGCCTCATAAATTAAATTACCCATCCCTCTTTTTAAACATTTTGATTATTATCTTTTCTTTTTTACATCTTGATTATTATATTTTCATCTTTATTTGTTAATTCATTTCATTTTTATCTTCATATCTAAATATTTCTCTCCACCCTTAGTCCAAATATATATATATATATATTAACACATAAAAAAATCATAAGCGGTTGGTTTGCAGTCCAAACTTACGTTATAAATAATTTTAAGTATATTTTATAAATTTCTCAAGAGATTTATCTATATATTAACACTAAACAATATAAGTGATTGGTTTGCAAATTCACAGATTGACATTTATAAATTCCCAACTAATGTTACAAAAATGCCAAGTGTATTTTATTAATTTTAATTTATCTATATGTTCACAATAAAAAATTAAAATTCTCAACTGATGTTATAAATAATTTCAAATATATTTTGTTAATTTTTCAATTGACTATTCACATTTTTTAATTACAAGTAAAGACCATGATCTATTATAGGATTTTTGATAATTTCTAGCAACTATTTTTTCTCTTGATCACAACATAAAATATTGATAACTAATTTATATTTAACAAAACTTTTATCCGCAATGAGATCTATAAATTAAATGCCTTAAACAATTTTTACAAATATTCTCCACTGTTGTTAACAGACCTTTAGAAGTCACATTAAAAACTTGCTTTATCCACAATTTAGGATATTTGACAGGTTTAATATTTTTCTATAATTATACTCTTGCGTTGTCCAAAAAATGTCATATGATGAATTATTGGGGACACAAAGTATAGTGGTAAAAACAAAATCATGAACAATTATAGCCACTTTTTGCTTGTCAGTCTATTATGTAGTGCTGATTCCTCTTTCAATCTTTCGTTGCTGTATAACATTTTTTCAAAACAGAATATGTCATTTTCTTTCTTTTGCTCTGCTAAATTAAGCGGGTATATCATTTTCAAAGGACAAGTGGCGCCATTATTGTGATTAAAATTAAAGCTAGAATTAACATTATTGATTGTTAATGAGACTTTGAGAGGTCTCCATCTGATGCTTCGTCGTCTGAAATAGGGATCCCAATTCCATCGGCTATTGGCCTTTTTGTGTAGCCATGGACCACCTCAATTATCGGCTTGTTCACTCTTCAAGTTCCTCTTATTTTTCACATAAAATTAAAATATTTCAAATGCGACCTTTTTAAGTATTAACGTTACCATGAGATTCTTAGAAGAATTTAAAAAATTAGTGAGAACTGAAATATCATTTTTGTAAAATTTGATTACTTTTTTCGTTAAAAAATATAATACATTTTTAGTCTTTCAAGATGTAATCATTATCTTTTTTTAAAAGTGTATAATGACTTTATATTTATTGTAGGGTGTTTAATAGGAGAAAAATAAAAAATATAATTAATGAAAAAATAAGTAACTACTTTATTGGGGTGAAATTTGGTTAAAAATGCATTAAATTTTTAAACGAAGGGAGTATAATTTATTCATTAAAAATATCTACAACTATAATTTTGAAAATCATCTAACATTATTGTTTTAATATTTAAGATTTTAAACTTGACTTTCTCAGTTGATCACATGTATTTTTTTATTAGAGATAATTCCATTCAAAATATTATGAATATTAAATATAAGTATTTTTTTTAATGAGGATTTGAATATTTTAGTTTATCATGAGCGACCATTTTATTAGATCTTAATTTCCGCTGGTTGATAAAAGAGGTTGAAATGAGGAAAAGGACTGTGAACTGAAGCGGGTCATTGCCATGTCCTTATTGGTGAAGTTTCAAAACCCAATAAGATGATGTGAAAGATTGTCTCTAAACAATAATTGAAAGCCCATAATATAAAAGCTGCTTTCAGGTCCATTCCATGTGTTCAAATTCATGATCTAAGTGAGATTTTTATGTCACTTTGAAATAAAATCTACAATGGCTTCTGTCTTGTTTTGCAAGTACCAAACACAACTTAACCCTAAACTCAAAATTAACGTGTGTTGTTGTCTGATAAGCAATCGTATCGTGAAGCAAGACATCATTTTCAATCCTTGTATATACCATTATAATAATAATAATAATTATCATTATTACTAATATCATTGTCATATTAATTTTCTGGTCAATGCTATGCAAATTTTACTAATTTAGTTGTATCATATATTTGAAGAGAAAATAGTTTCTTTGTCAACACATGAATGATATTAATACTCAAATTTTAAAAGTGATCTCAACTGAGTGACAAGCCAGCATCTCCAAGCATTTTTTTTCCCCATTCAAAGCATGAAGACAACACATGAGGATAATTTGGAACATGAGAGATAGTTTCATTTTTAGTGCTGCAATTTGAGCGTTATATAGGATATACAGTTAGTTAATGAAGGGCAAGCAAAGCAATAGATGAGGTGGGATGTGTGTGTGTGTGTGTGTGTGTGTGTGTTTTTTTTTTTTTTTTTCGGGGAGGGGGGAAGCAAGTAGGATTAGATCCATACAGCGTAATGCTCAAAGTCAATTGCAGGCAGTTGCTTATAAGAAATATAATCCTTCAGCTCATCCACTGGATGATAGGCATGTTTATGATCCCAGGAGGGGGGGGGGGGGGGCAAGAGTTCAGTGATGAAATTGGAATTTCCCAGCTGGTATGTAATCTGGAACTCATTTGACGAAATAAATTCTATTTTGTGAGATTGGACTTCAATGAAATGAGAAAAGGGGGAGGGGGGATGAACGTTTATCCATTTTTAAACTGCTTCTGAGTAACATACAATTCGTGCTTCATTCTGGATCATAACCTGTTCCAAGCAAATATTTACAGTCAGGTGTATTTTGCAATGAATTCAATTGTTAATGGCTATATCATAATTCCCACATAACCTTCCAACTTAGTTTTCTGAAGCTGGCTTCCCTGAGCCCGAGTGTTATGCAATGGCCTGGAATTTGAGTCGACGCTGTGAAGTACGATCACCATGACCACCGAAGAAATAAACATGGGAATCGGCCCGAAAAACCATAGCAGCAGATCGAGGGCAAAATAAAGAGCTCGAAGACCGAGTGACCAGAAATGGTCTCCCCTTATCACAGCAATCTCCACGCTGCTCACTGGTATGTAACAATCTGGTGTGCTTATGAGATATGTCGCATGAACGAAGTGCCTTATCGATTGGATGAAGCACGAGAAAGCAAGAAGGAAGCAGATTAACAGGCAGATGTACTTGATGGAAATGGTGGTTGGGTTTATGTCACCGTAGATTAAATCGCTCTGGAAGAATTTGTTGGAGCCATTAGAAATCCAAGCTCCTATAAGAGAGCAAACAGTCAAGGAAACCGAGGCCATGAAAGTTGCAGCCGTAATGTTTGATTGAATGACTGAGAGAGCTGTGCCTATGTCTCTCTGATCAGCCTGGTTATTTCACGAGCAAAAAAGTGTAAAGGGGTTGGATTGAATCAAAGGAACGAAGAAGAAGGTGAAGGATCAAGGTCAATTACTTGCCTGCATGATTCTCTCAACCCAAGCTCTTTTGTCATAGTCCTCAAAGCCCTTGGTCGTAGTGTGTGGCCTGTGGAGGTATCTGTGAAGCAGAAAGAGGTGGTAGGCAAAAATGATGAGCAATCCACAAGGGACCAGAATCAAATCCAGGTACTCCTTATGGAACTCCATAATTCTATGATTAGTTGGTTACTCAATAATATGATCTTCATCAAGGCTTTAGTTATAGTTGTAGTTATAGACATGATCATGCATTGTGGTTTGCTCTTCATTCTTCACTTGTACGCTTTTATTTGCATGAGGTGCTGTAGAGACTTGGAAGTTGGGTAACCAATTACCAAATGCAACTTGACGTGTCTTGCCAGAGTAATACATTCAAAACCCATGAAGTTAGAGGATAGTACGGCTACAATATTTGGGGAATAGAAGAAAGGATGAGTTAAGGAATTGCTTTTGCAGCAAGGGATCAGCTTGAGTTCATATTATTTCACCATGATGAGTTCCTTTTGGGGGGAACATTTTTTCTAGAGTTGTTTTCTTTTTTCAAAAAAAATCCTATCATTTGTTTTGTTAAAAAAATCCATTTTGAAATATGACTTATTGTGACTTTGAATGGTGTTCTTAATAAGCGGTTAAAAGGATATAATGACTAAAATGCTGCCAAAACCAAAAAAAAAAAAAAAAAAAGGAAAGGCTAAGAAATTTTTGTTTCTGCTCCCAATCCCCCGAGGAAAAACTATGTTCGGGTGCGACCAACCATCTTGAGTGCAAGGCTTGTATTACTCATTCTTATCTCTCTCTCTCTCTCTCTCTCTCTCTTCTACACATTTTATTCTAATATATATATATATATATATATAATTAAGAGAAACCGAGCTTTTAGACTGCGATAAAATATCATTAAATGCAGCGGAATTGTCTTGTCACAACTAAAATTAAATCCGAGTGGACGGCTTATGTTGTCTTTGATAGATTTTATGTAGGTATATAGATATACACATCGCACAGGGTTTTTTTCCATTACACTCATTTTTTTTTTTTGGATATTTACTTGAGACGATAATTATATAATTTTTTAATTAAGACATTATAAATATGTAATTTAATTGCAAATCACACTTGTGATTGTTGAAGCAATTAAAGAGCCCAAAGCCAGAAGACCAATAAACAATCCTAATGGACTCAGAGCCCACTTATGTTATATGTATCTATTTTGCATAACATTTGTTTATTCTTTATTCTATGTATGCGTGTCCTGTGATGACTCATTAGAGTTGTGTTTGTTCACTATATGAGGAATAAACAGCCTAGGGCTCTCTTCTTCTCTTGCCCACACACTTGTCAACAAAATGGTAGGGCAGAAAGAAAACACAAACATATAGTTGAAATGGGATTATCCTCTCCATTATTGGTGGGAGGCATTCCACACTGCCACAGAATTCATAAATAGGTTACCTAGGAGTGTTCTAGGTGGTATTTCTCCATTTATAAGACTGTTCACTAAGCATCCCAACTATACTAACCTAAAGGTTTTTGGGTCAACATGTTATCCTTGATTAAGATCCTACAATCAGCATAAGCTACAATTTTGAACTACCAAGTGTGTATTTCTTGGCTATAGTAATTCTCATAAAGGGTTCAAGTGTTTAAGTTCTACTCACAGAATATACATTTCTAGGCATATTGAATTTAATGAACAAGTGTTTCCTTTTGTCTCAGGGTTTATTAACAAGAGACAAGTGCCGTTGAAGAAGTGCATTCGAGTGTTTTCTTCAAGCCATTACTGTCCTCTTTTCCAGCTATTCGTCCATCTTCAAGCAGTAATCATTTATAGCCTCTTGCAATCAGTAATACTGTTTCTAATGATCAACACCTCACCCATCACATGATCAAGTTCACACAAGAATACAAGAAGGAGAACTATCTAATGATGCTATTCCTTATCAAATTCTTCATATAAGTACGGGTAATACAAATGAGAGTTCTGACAGATCAGAAGAGCAAGAAAATATTGTTGTTGTGCAGAACAGGCACCCTATGGTTACAAGGAGTAAATCTGGAATATATTAGCCGAAAGTTCCTTTTGTTGGCTCAGCAGATTCCTCTTCCACTGTCATATCTGAACCTCAGAATGTGTCTGAAACCTTGTGATCAGATATGTGGAGAAGGGCTACGATAGATGAATTCAATGCTCTTGTCAAAATCTAACATGGATTCTAGTTTCTAATACCAGGAAAGAAGCACCTGTGGATTGCAAATGGGCATTTAAACCTAAGTTTAACCCAGACGGCTCCTTTCTTAAGCCTGAGGCTAGATTAGCAGCCAAAGGCTTTCAACAACATCCTGGGGTTGGTTATGAAGAGACATTCAGTCCTGTTTTGAAACCAGCACCTCTGAGATTTGTTTTGACTTTAGCTGTTAGTTTCAAGTAGTAGATAAGACAGCCAGACATTAATAATGCATTTTTTAATGGTCATTGGCAAGAAAAGGTGTTCATGAAACAACAGGAGGGTTTATTGATAAAAGATTCCCTAATCACATTTGTCTATTGAAAAAGGCAATATATGAACTAAAACAAGCACCTAGAGCTTGGTTTGACATGTTGAAGTCTACTTTGCTTGGTTGGAATTCGAAATACTCAAAATGTGATAATTCATTGTTTTTCCTAAAGCTGAAGTCCTATGTGATGTTTGTGCTTATCTATGTAGATGATATCATCACTAGATAGTTGTCCAACTATGCTGACTATGTGTGTTGAACAACTTAATATTCTATTTCCTCTAAAGGATCTTGGCCACTTACACGATTTCCTTGGCATTGAAGCTCATAGAGAAGCCACGGGACTTTATTCGAAGCAGGAGAAATACATCATGGACATTCTTAAAAATTTTGGCGTGTCTACATGTTCCTCTGTCCCTACTCTTATGGTGGTCAATAAAATTCTTTCAATCAACAATGTTATTCCTCTTAAGAATCCCTCAATCTACAGACAGGCTGTTGGTGCTTTACAATATTTGATCAATACTAGACCAGGTATCATGTTTGCTGTAAACAAATTGACTCAAGTGGCAAGCTATTAAGCGAGTGTTGTGATATCTCATAGGCACGTTAGATTTGACTCTGTCTACGGCCAAGCAAATTTCTTACCTTGCATGGCTTCTCCAATGCAAATAGAAAGTTGTGTGTCAATGATTGGTGTTCAATCGGAGGTTATTGTCTATTTTGAGGATTCTCTTGTCGCGTGGTCTTGGAAGAAATAGAAAGTTGTCTTTCGATCGAGCATGGAGTCTGAATACAAAGCACCTGTTGATTTAGCCGCTGAGCTCGCATGGCTTCAATCTTTGTTCTGAGATTGGTTTTAAGCTGAAGCAAACCCCTTTGGCGTGATGTGATGATAAACAGAGTGCCTCAGCTTTGGCTTCAAAAACTATGTACCATGCGAGAACGAAGTGCATTGAGTTGGACATACACTTTGCTAGGGATCGAGTCTAATTTCGCCAGCCGTTCGTACGCTATGCACTAACCTTAGACCAAATTGTTAACATATTCACAAGGGCCTTGTGCAGCTCATGGTTTCTTGACTTGAGAACCAAACTCGGTTTGGTCAAAGGCCCTAGCCATTCGTTTGATGGGGATTGTTGAAGCAATTAAAGAGCCCAAATGCTAGACGCCCAAGAAACAGTCCTAATGGACTCATGGCCCACTTATGTTATCTGTATATATTTTATATAACATTTGTTTATTCTTTATTCTTATGTATACATGTCCTGCTATGACTCATTAGCGTTGTATTTGTTCACTATATAATTAATAAACAGCCTAGGGCTCTATGTGCCTCTTTTCAGAATTTCCTTTTTACTTTAACTGAAGGAAGCAAAATGATAATTAACATTGAAGTACAAATCTTATTAGTAGATTAAAATTCATAAGATATCCTTAGCAAGAAAAGAAACTAACAGTAGCATACAAAGTGAGTAGATATGACATGATGAGGAGGGATTTCAAGGATAAACTTCAATAAGTGATCTTACACCAAGGATAGGTGTTATCTTGTAGTGACTGAACCCAGCTTCCAGGAACAGCTTCTCCCATTCTTTTTCTTCTCTCTCTCTTCCAGCGACCACAGCCATCATCAACACATCGAAGAACAGCTTCGCATCTTTCAGATCGCCTTCATCTTTCTTCTCAATCACTATGTCTATAATAATCACTTTCCCTCCTTTGCCTTTGCATGCAATGGCTTCCCTGCACTTCTTGAGAACCTTTACGCAGTCTTCATCACTATAAGCGTGTAAAACCAACTGCCAAATCCCAATTAATCATTGCTTAGTCAAATTTCCTGTCTAGTTAATTTCATACAGTGCTCATCAATGCTACACAAACTGAAGGACCTTAAAATTTTCATACCTTAAGAAGAATGGCATCTGCTGTGGGAATAGAATGAAACATATCCCCTCCAACGAATTTCAAATTTCTGCTGTCTTGCAAGTTTTCAACAACATGTGGAAAATCTAGCACAGTACACCACAGATTAGGCAGTGATTCGGATATGATCCTAGACGCAGCTCCTTTGCCACCCCCAACATCAACCAATGAATCGAATCCCTCAAAGACTGATTTGCAATCTTTAATTACTAAATTCATCATACTTGAATCACTAATCAAAGCTTCATTAAAGAGCCTGTTAAACTCCTGGTTTTGGCTGAGATAGTCCCAGAATCCCATCCCATGTGCAGTGTGAAAGGGGGTGGGCTCATCACTGATAAACCAATCTCCCAAGGATTCCGATGAGTGCACTATAGCTGGATGAAACATTGCCTGAACGAAAGTAGACAAGCTTGGGATATTGCCTTTGAGGAGGAGCCTAGAGGAAGGTGTGAGGTTGTATCCCTCTTCTTCCCCATCACCTTTAGGGACTTTGGAAGTGGTGCAGAAGCCAGAGTGAACCAGTATGCGCATGAGCCTATAGAGATAAGAAGATTTTGCAGGGTCCATTTGAAGAGTGGAGAGCAGCTCAGGGAGGGTGATGGGTCTGCCATGGCCGTGGATTATGTCTGGTATGTTCAGCTGCAGAGCACTCTTGAGACACATGGAGCTCAAGAAATTGAATACGTGTTTATACAGATGGGACTGAGCTTGAAACAATTCTGCTTCTACCTTGACTTGATTGAAAGCCATTTTTGCAGGCGCAGATCCCTCTGTTCTGATGAATAGTACTGCCAGTAAAAGAAACTAACTGTTAAGAAAATATATAGTCGGGGACTTGAAAATTCCATGGGAGCACATCGGTGCTTACCGAAGGCACCTCGAAATCTGGATGGCCTTCAGTGCTCATTAAAGTAATATAATTTGGATTCTGGATTGCTGAAATTTAAAATTTTTATTTTATATTTATTAAAATAAAAATTTTTAAAATTTTTAAAAAATCTGCTCATTATTAATCTAAACTATTTAAATTGTTTAAATTTAGTGTGAAATTTTTTTTATAATTTTTATAAAATAGCCATTTATATTTATTTTAGATGGTCAAAATTTAATATTAAAAATTATAAATTTAAACCAATCAGATTAAATTTGGATAGTTCATATCGTATCAAAGATAATGAGTACTTTAATGAATATCCAAGGTGCTCCCAAATTTCATCTTTCAAAGGATGCAAGGACTTTGAAATTTTCTTAGGTGTTTGTTTTTCTGGGTGCCGTGGCTGTTCATTTCTCTTCACAGTAAAGTTCGTCTCAATTCAACTTGTTAGATTAAAATAAATGATATAATGCATTTGGATAATACTGATAGCTAGAAATAAATTATGCAGAAAGATGGGATCTAAATCTTACGCATGATTATTTTATTTTGTATTATTCGTTCTGTCCACAATAGTATATAAATATAAAGGATTCGATTTAAACTTTGTCCCTCGTGGAAATTTGAAACAGGCATTAAACACACTAATTAATAAGTTGCAGAAAAATTCTTCATCGTTTTGCAGACTTTTTCCATGGGACAATGACAATAAAATTTTTTAAATTATATAAATAATATTTTAAAATTTTAAAATGTTTTAATTTTTTTAAAGTCTCCTGAAACTTTTTTATTATTAAAGAATTAATGTAAATGATTAAATTATCTTTAATTTAAATATTAATTATTATTTATAAGTTTTGTTTTAAGATTCACAACTTTTTTTCTTAAAATCATAAGAATTTAACAACAATTTATAAATTTTCATTTAAAATCTTAACATTTATCAATTGCCATTCACAAGTTTTGTTATAAGATTCACAAATTTTTTCTTAAATCACAAGAATTCAACAATAATTTACAAGTTTAAATTACGGGCAATTTAATCTTTTATATTAATTTTTTAATGATAAAAAAATTTTAAAAAATTTTAAAAAAATTATGACATTTTAAGAAATTAATATATTATTTATATAATTCAAAAGATTTTATCATTTTCCTTTTTCTTATTGCCAAGTTGCCTTGCCGCCTGAAGTGACTTGCAAGTTGCAACTTTGACTTTTCAAGCATATGATCAAAGCATAGTGAATTAAAAATTGTATCATCAAAAGCATTGGCATTTTGTGTTGTTAAAAAGAATCCAAGTGCTCACCATTGGCTTATCTTACCAATGGATCTTTCTGAATTACAGGTAATAAATAGTCAAAGCATAACCTTTGTGATGAAGACTTAAGAAATCCTCAACCTTCTAGGGGCAGCCGATCCCCTTAATATTCTCAGTTGCACGTACAATGCATTTAGTAAGCCTTGATATTTCGTGTTTGCAGTGAGGGGTCTCTGGAGGTACCAGTGAAGCAGAAAGAGGTGCTATGCAAACATGATGAGCAATCCACAAGGGACCAGTATCAAGTCCAGGTACTTCTTATGAAACTCCATATTTCTGTGATTAGTTGGGGTTCCAATTGTATGATCTCCATTAAGGCTGTAGTTAAAGTTCTAGTTATAGACATGATCATGGAATATGAATTCCTTGTCATTCTTCACCTATAAGCTTTTATTTACTTGAGGTGCTGTTGAGAATTGGTGATTGGCTAACCAAATGCAACTTGACGGCCTTTTCCACCCATAGTAATATACTCAAAACCTTCTGAAATTATTGGATGGGTTAAAGAATTGTTTCAGGAGAAAGGGAACAGCTTAAATTAAAATTAAGGGCTTTTGTAAATATAGTTAATGTTAAAGAACCAAATCAAACAAATAGCCCATCATTTATTATATTTTACATTATAATCAATTTATTATATTTGTCAATTTAGATAAACCCCTTGTAAATTTTTAAATTTTTAATGATAAACTCATTGTATATTAATAATAAATTTTTTGTATATCAATATAAATCGATTATACTTCTAAATTTTCAAAAGTAAAGTACATATTTTTTTGGGCACAAGAAGTTTTTTTAGCCAGAGGGCTAATTTATCCTTAAAGTTACCACACATTGAGTTCCATTTTGAAATTTTAATGAATGAAAAAAAAAAATCTCCAAAAGCTTTTTTTAAAAAAAAAAATGGTGAGAGAATCCTATGACTTGTTTTGTTAAAAAATTCATAGATTAAATATTACATTCAATCAACACTTTGACGATAATGGAAGACTATATATAGCACAACATCTTATTTTTCCCCAAAACAGTAAATTAATCACAGAACTGGAATGCAGAATCAGGAGTGAATTTTGTTGCTGACATGCAAGAGATTTATTGCTGATGTGTGGTTTCTGTTAATTAAGGACAAACTTCAAGAAGCGACCTTAAACCAAAGAATGGTGTTATCTTGTAGCGACTGAACCCTGCTTCCAAGAAGAGCTTCTTCCATTCTCTTTCCTCTCTTTCTCTTCCTGTGACAGCAACCATCATCAATAAATCGAAGTACAGTTTTGGTTCTGTCACCTCATGCTTATCCTTCTTCTCATTTATCACTATGTCTATTATTATCACTTTTCCTTCTTTCCCTTTCCCTGAAATAGCCTCTCTGCATTTCTTCAGTATCCTTACACAGTCTTCATCACTGCAAGCATGTAATATCAGCTGCCAATTTCCAATTACCAGAAATATCAATCTCAAAACTTCAGTAACTCTCCTTGTTTCTCTTGTTAGTTCTCATGCTATTTGTAGGTTACAATATTTTACATAGCATCTTATGTTAAGTGAACAGCAATATATTTCGATCTTGGTATAGTTTTCTTTCAACTTCATCATTCATCTTTTCAAACATCATCATTGTTTCAGACCTAATTTTGTGAGATTACAGATAGAATATCCTAGACATGTATTATGTGTAACATTCACATATCAGCTATTTCCCTATCTCTTCCTCAAGGATATCAACTTTTCTACCTGGAAATATATGCTTAAAAAAGAATTTATGTCTTATACTGTTTCAGATCTATAGAACATGTAAATTTATAACTGAACAATTATATAGATTTTTCTTACAGTTGTTAAAATTATAGTTACAAGTTTGGTAAAATTATATAAACCTCTTCTTTATTTTTACAATACATGAAATTGTTTAAATAAAAAGTTATGACGTACCTTAGTTAATAAATAGAAACACTCATCATTTGATTTTTCAAATTATAAAATATATATGTATATTAAAACATATGTGAGTAAAATAATTCGAAATTAGACTAAAGCAGAAGGATTTTTTAATTTAAAAAAATATTTATCTAATTTTTGAATAAAACTGAAGAAAAAGTAAATTGCTTATTAAAATTTATCATATTTGATATATCTAACCATCCACTCTTAAAAACATGGCCTAGTCACAACTGAAGACCAAGAATTAACTGGCTATGTGCTATTATGAAAATCAAGCTTTGAATTTTGAAACAGAACTAAACAATGATGAATGCAAAGTAAAACTTCTCTGGACATGTATAAGTGGAAAACAAATAAATCTGCACACATACCTTGAGAAGAATGGAGTCAGCTGGAGGAATATGGTGATACATATCACCTCCAACAAACTTGAGATTTTTCACTGTCCTGCAATCCGCAACAACATGGGGAAGATCAAGCACTGTGCATTTCATACTGGGAAACTCCTCAGATATGATATGATCCTAGCCACAGCTCCTTTCCCACCCCCAACATCGACCATCGATTCCATCCCCTCAAAAACTGATCTGCAATCTCTAATCGCCAAGTTCGTCATCCCAGAATCACTCACCATAGCTTCATTATAAAGCTTGCTATACTCAGGATTCTCACTTCCATACTCCCAAAACCCCATCCCATATGTACAGTGAAAAGGATTTACCTCTTCTCTGTAGAACCAATCTCCCAGCAATGTCCACGGTTCAGACAGAGCAGGGTGAAAAACTGCCTGTGCAAATGAAGTCAGATTGGGGACATTTCCTCTGAGGAGAAGCCTTGAACAAGGTGTGAGATCATAAGCCTCTGCTTCCTTGTCTCTTTTGTCAACTTGGGTTCTGACAAAGAGGCCAGAGTGAACCAAGAAGCGCATGAGTCTGTAGAGAAAACCAGATTTTGAAGGGTCAATCTGAAGTGCCAAGACCAGCTCAGGGAGAGTGATGGGTTGGCCGTGGTTGTGGATTATGTTAGGTATGCCAAGGTCGATTGCACTTTTAAGAGACATGGTACTGATGAAATTGAACACGAGCTTGTACAAATGAGACTCTGCTTGGAACAACTCTTCTGCTCTATGGCTATCCATTTTTGCAGGCTACTCTGCTATCGGAACAGATTATAAAGGGTGAGCCAAGCCTAAGAAAAATCCCTTGTTTTAATAATGTGAAATCTTCCCTTGTAAAACGATTGTGCAGCTTGTCATCGACCATGCAAATTGCAATTCAAGTCAAATTTCGGTAAGGATAAATAATTTTTTATTTACTGGTGATTGACTGACAGCTACCATTACAAAAAGGATTTTCATGTGCCTAAAATTTCTTCCAAATGCAATGCTGGTGTTCAAACAGAGCTTTATATTGAATGCAATTAGGATTCAGTAATTACTGTAGGGAAAAAAAAAGAATTACTATGCTTTTTTTGGCTGCCCAAAGAATCTTAATCTTATCTTTCTTAATCATTGGCAATCACCGTCGGTACCAATGTTATTAAAATCGGACCAAACATTGAATCGGTCAAGGCACTAGTTTACAGTTTAAAGGTTGGACCAGGGTCAAACCGGGGTCAGACCGTTTGTAAATTAAATTAATATATTTTAAATATTATACATTAAAAATTATAGGAACTATGATAAACTAAAGATAACTAACTACTAATAAGGTGATAATTTCATCATACTTTAAAGTTTAAAGGTATACTTCAAAGTCATTCATGGCCATGCACAACACAACAACATAGTCTAACATTATCATACAATCCAATGGTCCAAATTCAACTAAAAAACTATAACATTCAATTGCCATATAAATCTTCTAAATTAAACTCTCCAAAATCATGTTGGAGATCACAAACATCTCCTTCAACTCTTATAGCATTTGATGAATCCAAAATAGGAGATTGCAGAACATTGACATCTTCAACAACACCTAGACATATATTTGGCAAAAAAAATAGTTAGCATTGACATATAAATAATGAATGAATAAACTATAAATTAAACAAAACTTTAATGTAAAAAGAAGAGGAGCAACCTTCATTTTCCCTTAATTCAAGACTAGATTCAGAGGGACATGCATTTCCACCAAGAAAATCTTCATTTTGAATTTCCTCAATAGTGAAATCAGGATTTGGAGTTGGAACTTCTTCAGCTATCCAATACTCAAGCTTATCAATTGATCATAATCAACAGGATCATAGCTCACCTTCTTCAATTTTGACCTTATACATATATATTAAAAATCACAATCAAATCCCTAATCATTCAATTATTGAAGCCAAAGAGAGTTATTTCAAATTTGAGTAATGATTAATGATCACCTGTTTAGCAAACGCAAGTTGTAATTAACAAACACAAGATCATTCAATCTTTCATATTCTAGCCTATTTCTTTTTTTGGTATGAATTCTTTCAAATAGGCTCCAATTTCTTTCACATCCTGAAGAAGAAGAAGTTTGTCCCAAAATGCGAATTTCAAACTTTTGTAATATTGGAACACTACCCCCAAAACATTGCCACCAAACATCTACATCAAATTCAAATAAATTAATAGTAGTTAATATTTAAAATTATAATAAAAGAAAAAAAGAGGAAGAAGCTAACCAGGTTGTATTTCATTTGCTACTTTATGAGCTTCTTCTCGACTAAAAGAGCCTTAGCGCTTGCGGTACATTTGCATCTCAGAAATCATGTCAGAATATTTATAGGTAGACTTGTATATTTAAAAATAGTCCAACATTGATTCTGTCACTCTACTCAATAAATCCTTGATCATACAAGAATGCAGGATTTAAAAAGTAGGCTGCTGCATGCAAATCACACTTCAAATGCTTATCCCACCGAGCTTGAATTATGCTTGTGCAAGGTTTGTATTGTTCCTTCTTTCTGCGAAAGAAATTTTTGATTGAATTCTTTGCTCTCTGCATACCCTCATAAACATAACCCAAAGATGGTTTTTCATCAGCATCTACAATTCTTAGTAGCTTGATAAGAGGACCCACAAGACATATAATTTGATGGCAATCATCCTAAAACTTCTTATCCAACATAATGTCACCAACTAGTTGCCCAGCTTTAGTCCTTGATAGTTTATTATCATGGAAGTGTTTATCTAAGACTAAGGCTTGCAAGTCATGCTTGTGCTCATGCAAACTTTTCAATGTAATAAAGGTAGTAGCAAACCTGGTCGCTCCTGGGCACACAATTTCTGTCCAACCATCTCTTCTCCTAAGCCATGAAAGAAAAGCCACATGATTGTACACAAAAACAGTAATTTTTGATGCCTTTGTTGCAAGGTCAGCTACATGGGGCATGCATGCAATGTCCTTCAAAATAAGATTCAAACAGTGAGCAGCACAGGGTGACCAATAGATATGATTATATTTTTCACGAATCAACCTGCCAGCAGCTACATAATTGGCTGCATTATCAGTCACAACATGCACTATATTTGTAGGACCGACCTACTCAATAACTTCACAAAACAAAGAAAACAAATTCTTGGCATCCTTGACTATATGTGAAGCATCAACAGACTTTACAAAAACCAAGCTAACAGGAGAATAAACCAAAAAATTTATTAATGTCCGTTGCCTTTTGTCGGTCCAGCCATCAGCCATGAGTGTGCAGCCACTTTCTTTCCAAGTAGCTCGGTGGCTTTCAATAAGTAGTTGACACTCTTTTCTACAATCAGTTAACAGGTCAACCCTTAACTCCTTAAATGAAGGACCTTTAAAACCTGGGCCAATTGCAGCAATTGCATCCAAAGCAGGCAAAAAATATGGACAATTTATAGCATTAAATGGAATGCAATTCATATATAAACACTTTGCAATGGCTAATTTAGCTTATACTGAGCTTCTTTAGATGACCACACACTCTTTAGCCCTAGTTGGGAGTCAGAAGTTGACCTTAGGGTAAAATAATTATCAACCCCGCTAGTTTGTCCTTTTTTTTTCACAACATTACTAGAACTTGCCTTCTTAGCTTACTTACTTGGCTCTGGATTTGGAGCAATTACTTCACATTTTGAGTTATCAACAAACTCTTCAAGCATGTCTGGATCATCAAGCTTCCTCTTATTTGCCAATGACACTTCTTTTAGAGATTAAACCATTTTATGGCGAACATCATGTAGAACCTTCTTGCAAGAAATTATATTTCTTGAAACACCTGCAAGATGCTGCTTCATCCTATTTATCCCACCTCCTCTAAATGATGAGGAGCAATGAAGGCAAATATACACACAGGTTCTTCCCTCTTTTTTAAAAGCAAAATGCTCCCATGCAGGATCACTTTTCCCCCGAAGAGATGGTGTAGATGATACTTGAATCCTAGAGGCATTATTACTATTCAAACCAATAGCAGTTTGTGGGGTGCTATTATTATTTGGAGTTGAGCCAGAGGGAGTGTCAATGACAGGAGTAGGATCAGGATTATTAACTTGCACATTGGGCTCAGTGGCAAGAGTGGGAGGTTCCAAATCCATAAAAAACAACTAAGCTTAATCAAAATATAATCAAAATTATGAAATCAACAATCAATAATCAACACCAGACATCCAGATTCACAACCAATTATTTCTTAAACTATCATTTGATTAAGCTTCAAGAATAAGAGGTTTAACATGTTAATGAAGATTGAAGATGGCAGAAGAGGCTGGAAATGGACTTGATCAGACTAGAAAATGCTGAAATGAGAGGTCAGCCGAGAGGCTCGAGACTAAAGAAAATGCAACGAACAGAGGAAAGGGAGGAATGCGAACAAGATGACCAGATGAGAGCTCGTGAGGTTCGCTGGACTGATTCTACAGAAGCTCGAAATAGCAACCCAAAAATCCAACATAAAATCACAACACCCAAAATGCATAACCCAAGCGATGAACTGGACGAAGGTGAGGTGGTGAAGAACAGGGGAAGAACAGAGATGAATTGATAATAAGGGAGCTCAGAAATGGCGTGAGCTATGGTGGTCTACGGCGAGAACAAAAATGGATGAAGAAATGTAGAAGAAATGGGCGACGATGAGTGGCGCTGGTGGAAATTTCTCGATGGCAATAAACCAGTCCTCACGAAGATGAATGGAGGCTCGGGTGGAGTGAACGAGAAATTAGAGGTAGTGAGAATGGCTAGAAGATGATGGAAGCTCGGGTTTAGGTGAGGAAGGATGACGACGCCGTAGCAGAAATGAAAGGTGACGGCGGAGGATTGTGGAGGAATGACAAAGACGATGAAGGCTAGGGTATGAGTGAGGAAGACTGTAGAGAAATGCCGGACTGAGTTTGAAACGAAAAATGGTCAAACTGGGAAGGAAAAAAAACAAAATACTGGACTGCAAAAACGGCGCCGTTTTGTGAAAACTAGGAAGGAAAAAAAAACTGGACCGCTTGAACCGCCGGTTCTCTCGGTTCAGTCCGGTTTAAAGCCGGTTTAGGCGGTTCCTGTCCGGTTCTCCCTCCCCCCGGTTCTGCATCATCTCCGAACCGGATACCAGGCCGGTTCCCGGTCGATAACCATGGTCAGTACTTTACTATAGTACCGTAGCTCTACAGTAAACATTAATCTGTCAATTGGATCAATAATTGCTTCTCGCTGTACATGGATTCTATCGGTGGAGTGAATAAAAAAAATAGTTTTAATTCTGGATCCTCCGGACTCTATTAAAACCTCCCCTCCTTTTTCCTCAAACCAAATAAACCCTTTAATTTATGACAAATTGAGTACGAGATTTGGATCATTTGAATATAAATGCTTCAAAAAATTAGTCAGTTTAATTAACAAAATAAGACAGAATAATTTTTACTATAATTACTAAGATCCCGGCAGAGCGGCCACTACTAGGAGTCGTTCGATCAATCTGATTGTTGACAATATGCCACATCCTCAAGGTCATCAAATTGAAACGGTTTATATAAACTCAATCTTAGCCGTCCGTTTGCCAAACCCAAACTTCCTTGTTCTTTCGGCCCCCGTAGGTCGGGCCTTGATGGCCCAAAAACAACTTGCACTTGTGTCTTTGTTTTTCTTTTTTTTTACTTAGTGGGGCCAACTTGCACCTGTTTCGTGTTTCGGAAGCTTTGCTTGTTGAATTAATTACATCCTATGGTTTAACTCAAATTTTTGGTGACATTTCTACCCAAAAAAAAAATTGGTGACATTATTAAACCGAATCAATTTCCGTGCTTGCTGTGGGGGCGGGGAATTCTTTTTAAGCGGCAAAAATGTTCGATCTCCGTATTTCACAAGCAAACCCAGTATAAATGTTTTTGGTTAGAAAATTTCGAGAACATCATGCCTCAACAAACCATCGAAAATTTCAAACCATTATTATGGGGTTTACAATATGCCCAGCACCTAGCTTCGTCGATTTCTTCAATATTAGGGTGTGGTCACAGTTATTAACTACTATAACAACGAGCCATTGAAATCTGCACAGTTTTGAAGAACAAATTCCATAATTCCATTGAGAGAATACTTGTGCCTACAATCATATCCAGATGTGGAAACCTAAAACAGAGACCATAACGAAACCTAACAGCACCGCTATACATGCCAAACTACAAGCTTAAGCCCGCTCACCCCTGATACGCCTAGCGAGTTGAATATCCTTTGGCATAATTGTGACCCTCTTGGCATGAATTGCGCACAAATTAGTGTCCTCAAAAAGACCAACCAGATATGCCTCAGCAGCTTCCTGAAGAGCAGCGACGGCGGAGCTCTGGAATCGAAGATCGGTCTTGAAATCCTGAGCAATCTCGCGAACCAGACGCTGGAATGGAAGCTTCCTGATCAAAAGCTCGGTACTCTTCTGATACTTCCTGATCTCACGAAGAGCCACTGTTCCAGGTCTGAAGCGATGTGGCTTTTTCACACCCCCAGTGGCTGGAGCAGACTTCCTAGCAGCCTTAGTGGCCAGTTGCTTCCTTGGAGCTTTTCCACCGGTGGATTTGCGAGCGGTTTGCTTCGTACGAGCCATTATCTCAGATTAGGATCGAAGTCGGAAATCAAGGGATTGATTGCAAGAGATTTCAGAGAAGGCAATGGAAATTTGATAGTGATTGAGAGAGCGGGCAATGGACGAGCGTTTATATAGAAGACGGCTTTTGAAATCGAAATTTGTGCGCGTAGACTGAAAGGTGATCCTGGCCGTTGATAGAACAGGATGCATCGACGGGTGTCATTTGTTTTGAGTGGCATGGTAGCATCCTGGTACGCACGGATCGATGACGTGGCAGGATGGATGCGTTGACGTTGTCGGTTTTCCGTGTTCTCTGAGAGCGTGTGATGGTAGCCGTTGATGCGTATCAGATTTTAACGGCGTAGATCGTTTTTCTTAAACTGAGGCGGATCGCCAACGTGGCAATAAAGACTGTAACCTTTGAATTTTTTTTTTTTGAATTACAACTGAGATCAATAACTAACAAAGCTTACAAATAAAATCAAGTGAAAGCATTTTTATTATCATCCATCACCTTCAAAGAAAAAATAAAGGTTGATCAAAAAATAAATACTTACTCTTTTCTAAGCAAACTTAACCAAAATTTTTGGATTGTAATTCGAATCATTTTCATTTGTATTTCTTTTGGTCTACCTTCATTTTATTCTTGGAGAGTTTTAATAAAAATTCTTTGAACACATTTATTTAAATTTAAAATCTCTAAATTTTAAAAATTATACTGTAGTTTAGGGATATTAATTTGATATTAAATTTTTGAGAGAAATAACAAAGTTGTCCCTCATTTAAATGGAGACAAGAACTTTCATACTTCACTTATTTATTGTCCTACTTTACTTGTTAATTTATTTATGAAAAATTATTAATTATCCTACTTAACTTGTTTTCATTTAAATATTTAAATCATCTTAAGATAACTTGTTGATTTCTATAGTATGTGTTATTCATTTACTTATAGACTGTTGTTCATTATCCTACTTCACTTGTTCATTGCCAGACTTTCACTTAATTTTATTCTAGGAAAATGAACAAGTGATATAAGACAATTAATAATATTTCTTAAGTAAATGAATAAGTAAAATAAGCAATCACTAGTACAAAAATAACTTTTTACAGCGGTTAAAAATGACTTTTTATAACATTTAAAAAGGCGATGTTGTTCTAGGAGATGTAAAAAGTCCACCTTTTTACATCAGTTATAAAACCAATGTAAAAATTAAATTTTTTATATCGGTTATAAAGCCAATGTTAGAAATTATATACAAGAAAATAAAAAAAATTATTTTAACTTTTAACACCGATTGGATCCCAACCAGTGTTAAAAATCTACTTTTAACATCGGTTATTACCATAACCAATATAAAAAATATTATATTCTACAACAGTTATGGTAATAACCGGTGTAAAAAGTATTTTATTTTTTTAATACTATATTTATTTTATCAATTTTACTCATTTCTGTATATAAAAATTGTCAAATCAAACAACTCAATAATTTATAATTGTTTATTAAGTATTTATCAACTATACAAAGCTATTTGACTATTAAAAAAACTAATAATTGTCTAAATTGTCAAAATTGACATTCCTATGCATAAAAATTACTAAATCAGACAGCTCAATTTATTTACAATTGTTTATCAAGTATTTATCAACTATACAAAACTATTTAACTATTAGAAAAACTAACAATTGTCTAAATTGTGTCAATTATCAAAATTAAAATATGTCTAAAACTATTTTTCTAGTTGTTAAAACTTTTTTTGACTAGAACATTTAATAGGTTTAGATCAATGGCAATTCCATTATACTTCCTCCATCTTAAACTATAAAATAACTTTAAAGAAATTTTGTTATATCAAAATATAAGATAATTTGATAAAAATAAAGCTTTATTAATAATACTATAGCCACTTATAATCATAAAACATTTACAACATTCAGTACACATAATCATAATGGGCCATTATATAGTTCCAATACTTCTAGCCCGTGTCTTTCCCTCTACTCCTATTTGTGTATGAACCTATAAAATAGTAATCATAGGGTGAGATAGAGTCTCAGTAACCAAAATAATTTACAAATATCTATTTAAAAGTAAAACCATAAACAAATGAATAAAACATTATTGTAAATCACATGCTAATATACATAATCATTATCAAATGCACAATCGTACTATCCATCTGAACCTTCGCATCTACCTTTGATTGAATCCATAAGCTATACACTAAACCAATTTTGTGTAACTGATTCGTGCTCACCTTCCATAAAAGAACTACCCGACCACCAGCCATAATTTGCTATTAAGCAACCAATTATACCTAATAAGCTAGATTATTGCCCAGTCAATATTCATTAGGAGATGGTGATAAGATAATAGCATAGGAGTAGAGCAGCTTTGATATAGAAATACATGAAAGTGGCCATGACAATCCATCCATCAAATATAAGGTAAATTACAATTTATCTCCTAATGGTTTGGCCTGGAATCAAATAACCTCTTGCGGTGTTAAAAGGGTGCCCTAAATAAAAATTTAAATCATTACACTAATCATAATTAAATAAGGACTAACCCAAAAGAATTATCCTATCAGAGATTAATCTAAACAAGTCATTACCATGTATTTTCATAAACTATTTAAAACAAAGAGATCTCAGTTTTTAAATTATTTCAGGAAATCAAATCATTCAATTAAACCTGTGTGGAAGCATGAGATTGGTTAAGCATTAAGAAACACATTTCAAGATGAGATAAAAATTCCCCCTTATTTCATCGTTATGCCCTACTCCACATAGTATATATATTCACCAACATAAAATTTGGCCATTCAAACCTATCCATAATCGGCAGAGGGGACCAAGGTCTCAATCACATTTATCACAATGACTATGACATAGTCATCATACTATATATATCATCTGTTCATTAATAGCTCATCACATGTATGAATTTTCCTTTTCATTCATTTATAGTTAATATCAACTACTCACCTTTGGATGTAAAAAACACAAGGAGAGACCATAACAATAATTAAGTTCTCAAATCATGCATATAATTACTATTTTCACTTACACAAGTATTTTGACCCACTAATATAAATATAAGTACCAAGACACATTCCCAAGGGCCCTAAATACATTTTCACCAAACACAAAAACCCATAATATAAGTGGATTAAAAATATATTGTCCTAGTTAGTAATATCATAAACTAAATACACATATCAAAATAAAAATTAAAGGCCTACAGAAGTAATTATTATTGTTTAGCCTAATTTTTCTTTCCTCTGTTCTTCCTAAATGAGCTAGCTCTTATAATATATTAAAAGAGAGGGGTGAGTACAAGTACTCAGTAACCAAGGCTAAGTTATACAAATGCATAATAATTAATCATGAATACAAGTGGCTAATAAAGTAATCAAGATAACCATGTAAACAATTATATTAAGATCATGTTAATCATATTAACATCTAACTCATGTGAATAATCTCAAGAATAAAATTAAGTACAAAATTGGCAAGACTACTCACAAGTACTAAATGTTCGTATAAAATTTGCACAAGTGCTCGCATATACATTACTCACATATTTACCATATGTTCTCATTTTCACAATTACAATTATAATATCAAACATAACAATAATGAAATGCATGATCAATCTCTTCCTTATATCCTCCCATATTTCCTTTGACGTGAAATCCTTGGGCTAACAATTAAAAGGGATCGTCCATGTGGTGAGACTACCTAAGCCCTTAATTATATCGTGAAGGGCTACTAGGCTATGGTTACCTTACTATAAATACAGTTTCCTTCAAATTATTCAATATGGAATGTCATACCCAAGAAACGCTATAGTATCCTATAAGGTAAGGAGTAGCTATGACTCTTAGGATTAACTGTTAATAGTTAAGTATGATATGGATTTTGCACAACTGCTAACTCCTTTACTAAGGCAAACTCTCGCCATATGATCATACTCATGAGAAAATATATTTCAATAACTCTTATATATGTAATTCATAATTGTCCCACATGTTCATCAATTTTCATGCACAACAAGCATTAAGAATCATTGTATCTCAATCATGCCTCATGCATCAATTTTCATATTACCACATAAATCACATTAGCATCATATGAAAACTCAACATGTTCATATACAATTCATCACCATGTATAATCCACAATGTATGATCAAAAGTATGTACATCATCATCAACCCTCAATCTCGTTACTCAAATCTTGTCACATTATCCCATGATAGCATAACTGATATTAATATTCCGCATTACAAGCAAGCTTTCATATTCATTTTTTTTCTCCACATACGGCCATCACATTCAAATTCTTTACGTGTGTTACAAATAACTTTGTCACAAATCATATAATTTTAACAAGACCACATATGCATTACAAACAACAATTTCAAGATTTAATGATACATATATATATATATATATATATATATTTGTTTGTTTTACAAACACAAACAATTAATTAACATACAAATACATTAATTAGATTTTTTCTAGTTACCTCAACCTTTGAGAGGTCAAAGATTACCCCTCAAATCATTACTTTTAAAGCTTTTCAAAGATTAAATGGTTCTAAATGACAATTATTCTATAATCAATCATATTACAATGTGTCACTAATATTATTAACACAATTTTCACTCATGTTCCAACACTTAAGCATTTTTTTAAGACCTTAATTTTAACCTCTTGTTCTAAAATTTAATTCCACATAATTGAATCTATCTACTTAGTTCAACAGCTTTCTTTACCATAGTTTCATTGAAGTTTTACCTAAAATTATAATTCAAACAATTTTCTAATAGCAAAAATTCCATTTTTATTCCAAAAATTTACACCTAAAAATATCCAAAAATTGAAAACTTAATCTTAAGGCTAGAATCATCATTTTATAGCCTTAATATTATGTTTCTACTCCTAAATAACCTTCTAGCCATTAATAAATCAACTTATAATTTTAGATTTACCAAAAACCTAACTATAAGAGTCTAGGGTTTAATTCAAAAGCTTTAAATTCAAATTCTATCAACAAAACGATACTCTAGAATATTTATTATA